TCTTTTTCCTATTTTATAAGAGGCCAATAGGTTATTGTCCTTCCATTCTTTTGGAGTATGCTTGAAGTCCTGTTCTTAGAGTCCTGCACACATCTAACTTGTGTAAATTCATTCTCTGTGATGCACAAATCCTGGTCAGAAACTAGGGGAGGAGGAGAAATGCAGTTGTGGGTGTTGCGGTCTCTATACATGTAGCTGCATTTAATTGTTTTTATCTCCATGCCTATCTTTTTTTTTAATCCACCCATTTCTTATTTTTTTATGTTATAATACCCTTCATTTCTTAAGCACGATAGGTACCACATATTATCTCAGACCAGGAGCCTTCTTTCAATATTGGGAGTAAAAGAAGTTCATTTCCTATCTGGAGTATCACTGAGCGGGAGAACTACAACCATATCAATATGAGAAGTCATACATGATTAACATAACAAATACATCTCTAACTACCGACAACAGGCATGAATATTATATTACACGATCTTATCCTTGCAAGAATACAAATCCTAGTGCCAGCCTTTTCAATATCATTAAGAGTAACAACAGTGATGTTATTGGAGCTCTTGGCTCTCGGGTTACCCTTGCAAAATGGAATTGATGACTGCAAAATATATTTAAAAATATCTACGGAGGAGATTTAGAATGGTTAGACAGAATATAATTTTTGAAAATTCAAATGATGCATGCTTTAGCAAAAGCGCCGGGCTGTGGCTTCAATATAATAGCTGCAGGTTTGTCCTTGATTTACAGGTGGTGACAATGGCTTTCTACATACTTGAACTCAGTAAAGATTGGGAACATCTAGTAAATAAAGGATTGTCTTTAAGATAATTTGGAAATTTCAGCTGGTGTAGATTGTGGCCATTCGAAAATTCATATTATCAATTCATGTGATATCTACATTCTGTCAGCTGGACTGATTTTAAATTAAGTTATTTGCAGAATGTCTGCCATTCACCTTATATATGATTTTTGTTGTCCATTTTTGAGAAAGGTTAGGGGAGTCTTTTCACCAGTGGTTTTATGAATGAGTTATCTTCTGCTGCTAATGAATCTCACCATTAAAATTTGTTAGGAATAGCCTGACTGTATACACTCATAGTCAGCTTTGAATGAAACTGTGTATTAGGTTTTAGTATTAGCTAAGTACTAAAATTGGATGTTATTTGTTGTTACTGGTGGTTTTTTTTAAAAAAAAATACTCTTATTTTGTTATTGCATGAGCTTTTATTTTGGAAATTGCCTCAAAGGTACCTTTACCCTCAGAGAAATCCTAAGATGCTTTTAATAATAATTAAATATGTTAACTTTTAAACATCAAATATAGTGTTGGTTTAGCTTAGTGCATTGACTTTTAAGCTAAGTTTGAAATACATTTTAAATCTTTCTCAGCATTAATGCTAGAATATTGTATGTTATTCCTACTTGCCCTTGTTCAGTTTGGAGTAATGTATTATTGAAGTCTCTGCGCAGTGTGAAAACTCTATAAACTTTGCTGTATTTGATTCCTCTTTAAAGAGCAATGCTTAGGGGTTGTACAAAACATTCTGTGCAAAAAATGTTCCATACATAGAATAGCTGCTTTTGAGTTGTCCATGCTTAGAATGAAATGAGGCTGCTTTGTTCCTAGCAGAGATGGCTTGGAAGGAGGGGGAAAAAACCCAAGGACATTGGCAGCTGGGAGGCAGCAGACTGGTAGATGATATCACACTGTGACAGGAGGAAGTGTGACCAGCTTTTACATTTGCATTGCATTTAGGCATATATCTCTTCACAGTCTTCTCTAAGAGGTTTAAGGAGTCAGCATACGCCCCCAACTCAATAACCTGGGTCCTCAGTTTATCAACCTTGAAGGATGGAAGGCTGAGTCTTGAGCGGGTCAGGATTGAACTCCTGGCAGTGGAATGCAGAGTTAGCTAGTGGAATGCAGAGTATACTGAATTCTAACCATTGCGCTACCATACGTCTACTACTCTCTATTCCCTACTCACCTTGTCCGGATTTTATTTTATCTGAAAATTTGAACAAGGAAAGCATTCTAAATTTTAGTTCTGTTGAACTGTTACTGACCTAAACTGTTTGGCACATCCCCAGACAGTTGTTCAAATGTAATATACTTGGTAAGAATATTAAATAAATGATTATTTAGGTTGATTAAAACATAGTGTTAAATCTCTTACCATGTATTTTAAAGGAAAGCTTTTCTTGAAGTAGTTGAAAAGAAAATTAAATGATTTCAATTGCTGGTTAAGATACAGGGTATGAGAAGTAAGAGATATTTCTTAACACCATTGCTTTCAGAATTGGCAAGCCAGTGGATTCTAGGCAAAAGAATATAAAATTGTGTGTGTGTGTGTATTGTTTCTTTTTTTTAGATAAAGTTCTTTTGGGTTTTCACAAATACAAAATACAAATAAAACATCTTTTTTGAAAATAGCATGGTCCCGGGTTGAACTTCTTTATACAGACACAAAACTCAATTTCACGCTCCTTTTTGTGTTCTATTCCATATCTTATACTATTCTACATTTTCTATATAGTTTTTCCCCTCTTTTAATTTTCTCAATTTTTTTATTTTGATTATCTCATCTCAGTTCAAATCATTATATACTTTTGTCTGTTCTGTTTCAATTTCATATTAACTTTTCTCATTAAACAAATTTTCTCCTGTAGTTACTAATTGGAATATGACACTTTACATCTTTTAATTACATCCATTCAACTCTTATTTAAACTTCAATATATATCTTAAGGTTATGACCTTCAATATAATATATAATACATAACTTCCAATCGAATTCTGCTTGGTACATTCTTATAATACACACTATATTCTTAAAAAAAAAAAGATTATAAATATATGTAATTATAAACCCTCATTCCATTCCAATTCAGTTCTATCATTAATAATCATTAAAATCTTAACATCTTTAAGACTTCTTTTCAATTAAATATCATACTTCCTTAAAGACACATATAATCTGCATAATTAATTTTTCCCTTATTTCTGTTCACATATGCCTTGTAAATCATTAAATATTTGTTTTGTTACATTTATTTATTGATAAGCATTCCACTGAATTAAGATAGCTATTTTATCAAACATTTTAATCATACATTGTTTCATATTTTCTAAAATTATTTCTGTTTCTAATATAACAATACTATCTTATGTACCTTTGCAGAATCCATTTTTCCATTAAATTTTCACCCATTATCTCTAAATAGGCCCTGTTTCTGTATATTTTGTTTCTGTCCTTTATAACTTCTTTTCCTTTCTTTCTTTCCTCTCTTCTTCTCCCTCCCCTCTACTTCTAATTCTCTCTTCTGTATTTCCCTCTTCTGTTGCTTTCTGATTTTATACTTATTTTTCACTCTATTTTATTTTTGGAGTTGTTTTTCCCAATCTTAAACTTTCCATACTCTTTCCCCCCTTTCCTTTCCCCCCCCCACCTAAGATTACTTGTTCATTAAAGATGGCTTCTTCTTTGTCGCAATCTTCTTGTTCTGCAGGCATTTCTTGTTGCTTCTCATAATTCCAAATCTTCATTTCTAAAAACAAATACAAAGCCAAAAGAACCTCTCCCTTCTTGTTCATCTTCTTTGTACTTTTTAAGTTCTATTTTCAGTTCTTCTAAAAGTGGAGCCATTTTAAACAGTTTTAAACAACCACCCGGTTGATTTTAGTCATCCAAATACAATAACCCAAAATCCAGAAATCATCAAGTAATCCAAATAGTTCCAAGTTATTTCTTCTTATTTCTTTTTCCACTTTCTCTTCCTGGGGTTTTTGTTGCAATATTTCAGTTAAAATGTATCTTTTGGAAGTCTTTTTGAGATTTTGCTGTAAGTTCATTTTAATTCCAGGCAGTCTCTTCCCTTCCAGATCCTGCCCTTTTATTCTTTTTCTCTCCTTTCCTGTTATCAAAAGCTTTTGATTGTCCAGAAATCTTTATTATCCCTTTGACTTTTTATTTTCAGCATTAAATGCCTATTAATGTCAAAGTGGATTTTTTTCCAATTTCTTGCTTAAGTCTCTTAGCTGTCAGTATACGAAAAGGAGAAAAAAAAAACCACCAAATCTTTCCCCTTTTCTCTCTCCTTCGCAGCTTAAAAATCTTCTTAGGGAACACTGTTATTGTTTTTTTTTTAATAGTTTCAATTCCAGGGTACCTTATTTGTTGCTTTTGCTGTTTGACCCAGTCAACCAAAACTTTCTCTTCTTATCTTCCTCCTGCACATTCTTTTCCGGTCGAGTTCTTCTTTGTGGTGGCCATTTCTGACCACCGCTACAACCGCCTCCGGGAAAGGGAGTAATGGCCAAATGGGGAGGAGAGATGTGGCTCTCCTCAATCCTGCAGGCAGTCTCCCCCTTCTTCACCACCTCTACTGGGTGGCTTAGCCCCGAAACCAGCCGGCTCAGGGCACTCCAGCGGCGAGCACAGATCGAAGCCTCACAGAAACGAGGTTTCGGTCTGTTGCCAAAGAAGCTCAAACCGGAAGGCTTGTGTGTATTGTTTCTTGTTGACTAGAGCAGATGTAGGTAATATTTTTGGTTCACTAGGTACAATTTGCCATTTAGAGAGCAATGATTGAGACTTTTCCATTGTATTGCTTTAGTTTTCCAGGATGGTGTGTCTACCTTCTGCTTACTTTTCTCTTTGTGTTTGTGTTTGTGCTGTGGCCACATTTCCCAGGATTGTTTTTTTTATTTATTCATTCATTCGTTTATTCATATTTATTCATTCATTCATTCATATTTTGCCTTTATTATTTAGAATGTTTACAGAGCCTAGATGTAAAAGCATTCAGTAAATAAACATTGTGATAGTGGCTGGAATAGTTGCTTGGTAGAATAGTACTTTTTATTTAATTTTTGATAATTATTTTGAAAAATAAGCAATTACACATGTAGCAGTAGGTGGCTTTGGTCTTTTTGGCATTTTGACAAACTAATCTTGGCATGGGGTACCATTAGTAAAAACACTTTTGATTTTCAGATTTGAAGATGCTGAGTTCCCTGTAACCATCCTGATCACAAAAAAATGCAAGCAAAGATAAACTTTCCATGTATTGTGCTGTGATCTTTAGAAGGTTAGTATTCCAACAATTAATGTAATCATTCGGAACAATTTTGAACAGCTCTGATGGTTTAATAACGTAAGACCACATTCCTCTTTTTTTATTGAACCTACGCAATTAAGTTAATGCAGGTGTTTTTAAGATCTTTATGCTCGTGTACATGTGATAGCCTTTGAGAAACGGGATCTATAAAGCTGATGAAACTGTTTTGTCCTGGTAATCCTGGACTTACATTTATTTAGCAACCATCCAAAATTACAGCAGCACTGAAAAAAGTGACCTATGGGGACATTTAGCATCCCCATAGACACAAAATCAAAATTTCGTGGTTGGCAACTACCATGTATTTATGACTGTGACAGTGTCACGTGATCACCATTTGTGACCTTCCCAGCTGGCTTCCAACAAGTCAAATCATTGGTGGAAGCTGGATTCCTTTAATAGCTGCAGTGATTTGCTTAACTGTCTCCCCCCCCCCCCCAAAAAAAAAAAAAGTGTGTAAAATTAGGCATGATTCACTTAACTGCCTTTCTTAGCAGTGGAGTTTCTGGCTCCAGTTGAGGACTACCTGAAATACCAATAAGATAATAATTTAGTGTCATAATTGTAGCCATTGTTGTGTTCCAGGTGTAACAAACTTTCATTGAAGGCTACCCATGTGAAATATCACATAGCCTGATCAGGAAAAACAATCCCCATGAATAAATCAAAACAGTGCTTCTATGACACATAATGGTATTGTGCTATTGAACATTATAAAATGCTGACTTGGCTGGGCATGCATATAGAAGAGAGGACCTTTTTCGGTAATTAAGGCAGTAGGTGAAAATTCCATCTGTTGTTTACTTTGGACACTTTAATTACAGATGAAAGCAGATCCCCTTGGAGATGTTGCAAAGGCACCTAATATCTCTGTTGTTGTGCTTATAGAAGTAGCTTGTCAAGTTGCCCCAGCAACTTTGAAGTGCAACTCATGTGAAAGCAGCAGCAGCAGCAGTAGTAAGTCATTCTACCAGAAGAGATCAGTTGACACGGCTCCTCCCCATTTAGCTACTAACCGAGTAGGGTACTGTTGAATAATAATAATTTTTTTAGAAAAACATAGTTCACCCTCTACTGTTGCTAATTTAATAATCACATTTTCCCAGGTGCCTAAACTCTTCTTTCAAGGACTACTTTACATGCAGCTGGTTGCTGCTATTTGAATTATTTTACAATCTGCTTTTATATCATGTATATTTTGTTCTGTTAGTGCTTCAAAAGAAGCCTGGTGTTTGCTTTTTGAAGCATTTTTGGGATTATTTTTTATTTCATATCCACTTATATAGTCAGGGGAAAAAATTACTTTTGGTTTTCCAATAAGTAGAACACAGGTGACGCACCATCACTGTAAATCTGTGTTGCTTGAGGCTAGGAGGTATGAAGGAGATTTTTTTTACATGCAACTTCAGATTTTTTTTCAAGCCAGTCATTCAATAACCCAGGAAAGGGATTCTGAAACAAATACACCTGGAAAGTACCAAGTTTGGGAAGGCCATTCTTAGTTATACCAATCAAAGCCTATTCTGTGACACTAGATTGAATTGTAAACACATTGATTTTCTGTGAGAAAAGTGCATATGATTCTGCAAGGGAACATTGTTTGCTTTAAACCTTAATGCTTTGGCACACTTCATTTGATGATATAGGGAGAGAACAAATGGACTGTTTCAATTTGGACACTCAGTTCAGGGTCATGGAATCAGTGCAATAAACCCAACATTCCACTGAATCCTGGTAAACCTTTAATAAGGATTCTGCCAAATGTGCTTGAAGTATGCAGTGTAGGGATAATAGAATAGAATAGAATAGAATAGAATAGAATAGAATAGAATTCTTTATTGGCCAAGTGTGATTGGACACACAAGGAATTTGTTTTGGTGCATATGCTGTCAGTATACATAAAAGAAAAGATATATTCATCAAGAGTCAAGAATCATAAGGTACAACACTTAATACTAGTCATAGGGTAGAACAAGTAATCGAATCATACTAGGAAACAGTATAAAGTGTAAGGATACAAGAGACAAGTTACAATCATACAATCACAAGTGGGAGGGGAGGGGTGATAAGGAATGATGAGAAGATTAATAGTAATAGTAATGCAGACTTTGTAAATAGTTGGACAGTGTTGAAGGAATTATTAGTTTAGCACAGTGATGGAGTTTGGGAAAAAACTGTCCTTTTTTCTAGTTCTGGTATGCAGTGCTCTATAATGTCGTTTTGAGGGTAGGAATTGAAACAGTTTATGTCCAAGATGTGAGGGGTCTGTAAATATTTTCACAGCCCTCTTTTTGACTTGTGCAGTATACAGGTCGCCAATGGAAGGCAGGTTGGTAGTAATTGTTTTTTCTGCAGTCCTAATTACTCTCTGAAGTCTGTGTCTGTCTTGTTGGGTTGCAGAACCAAACCAGATAGTTAACAGAGGTGCAGATGACAGACTCAATAATTCCTCTGTAGAACTGTATCAGCAGTTATTGTCATTGCTATTGCTGTATCATTCACTAGTTGAATTTTTTTTTTCTGAAAAGAGTAAGACAAGAGCCAACAAAGTAATTGAGATGGTCCATCTCTGAGGTTACCATGTTGCAGTGCTGATTAGAAACTGGGCTGTGGTTTGAATTCAGATGTGTGAGCTTTGGTGAAACAGACTCTTCAGAAAATAACTTTTTTGTCTATTCTTTTAATAAACAATTATTTTCTATATCTTACAGCTGGTATTTAGTAAAATGCAAATTTATTTTTATCTAATCTGTTAAATGAATACTGTCAGTTTTTAATTGGCTGGCTGTTCTGTTAAAATACTTTATTTGTGTTTAGTCAATACTTGCTAATCAGTTAACTGGATTTCCCCCTCCTCTCCTTTTTGCTTTTTGGGTTGCTCTGATACATAGAGCTACTCTGACTGTTGATCACATCTAGTTATTTGACTCCAACTAATAACATTCCCCCCATGGTTTTTAAGAAATACGCTATAAAATAGCTGGAGATACTTTGCAATAGTTTAAATTTTCTTAATATTTATATTGATATTTCTAGTTTAGCAAAAGGAAAAATTAATTACAATTTAAACATAAGACAAAAGAATAATCTGAAAGACAACATCACAAAATGCATGGTACTAAATTCAAACATTTTCTCACAGCAAACTGTGGATGGTAGGTTTGTGGCTTTGTAGATAATGAACACAAGTACTACAGTGAGGTAGAATCTGAAGAGGTTTGTTAAACAGTGCAAAGCAAGAGCAACAGTTTTAACTGCAAAGCATAAGTTAGGCAGGAAACATTCAGTCAAGGCAACAAACAGGAAATAGCAACATTCATTAGAGGAATGTGAACACAGAGCAAAGTCTTATGTTCTTTTAGATGTTGGAGTATCAATAATAAGAATGAACGTTCCCCAAATAATATTGGCTGGTATACAATAGTTTTCTGGGTAGTATGGTCTATATTGCAGCTGATCCTTAAGAAGGTTTTCCAAACATGCCTAGTATATTGCTGCTATTGGTCATATTTCTGCTTAAGCGCACTCATTGTTCATATGCCTTGTCTAACAGCTGTCAAAAGTTTCTGTGAGACAATATCAGCAAATCTTTACAGCAACAGGTGGTTGACCTTGAAGGGATAACCTCCTCCGCTATACCACATTAGAAGATAAGAACACAGCCGGGATTGAGAAAGCTGAGAGATTTGCTTTAAAAGCCAAGGCTTTATTAAGCAATGCTATACACATTACTATATTAAAAAAGGTCATTTTCTTTTTTTCTACAAGAAAACCGCAGAGGAAGAGGGAGCATGCCATTTGTTCCTCTTTGCCATTGTAATAGTCCTCTGTAGTGTGATTTAAAGCTTATTGGCTTACCATGATGTATGAATAGATCATCTAATTATCCTAAATACTGTTGGGCCTCCTGAAAGATAAAGTTGAATACTCTTTCAATAAGCCTTGAAGGCAGATGTAATAATGCATCATTGCTTCCAGTTACCTTGCTTATGGTGGATTAGGGGAAGTAGAGTCAACCCATGGTCTTATGACACTAGTTCTGTACCAGTTGTTTGATAAAGTTCCTTCATATTTAAAAAAAAAATGCTAAATGTGATATTTTGGGATCAGATAGAAATCTAATAATTATATACAGATAGTCCTTGACTTACAACAACCACAATTGAGCCCCAAATTTCCATTGCTAAGCAGGACAGTTGTTAAGTGAGTTTTGTCTCATTTTACAACTTTTCTTGGCACAGTAGTTAAGTAATTGGCTGCAGTTGTAAAGTCAGTAACATGATTGTTAAGTGAATCTGGCTTCGTCATTGACTTTGCTTGTCAGAAACTCACAAAAGATGATCACATGACCCCGGAAGATTGTAACCATCATGAATACATGCCGCTTGCTAAATATTTAGATTTTGGTCATATGATCATGGGGATGCTGCTGTGAGTGTGAAAAAACAGTCAAGTCATTTTTTTTCACTGAAGTTGTAATTTCAAATGATCGCTAAAGGAATGGTTGTAAGTTAAGGATTACCTGTACACAATGGCAAAGTACCACCTTATAGCAAGTAAGACATAGAAAATTGTGGTATCTCATAGTCAGCTTGCTGTTTACCAGCTTTATCTATTGGCTATGTTGGTTTGAATAACCAAAGATACCTATCCTTTTTACTTTTCAAGCCTCTCTCTCTTTATTTCCTTTCAAACTGTTTTGAAGGCTCCCATCTCCTATTTACACTTACTTGCTGCATGTATATAACTTTCAGTATTTAAAGTATGCCCCAAAGCTATTGGACAACCTGTTAAATGGGTGGATCAGCCAAAAGTAGTGTATTTGTCATTCTGGCCCCTTCTTTATTTCATTGTGTTTGATGTTGGGGCAGGTGTGATTTCTTCCTGTTTCCATAGACTTTTCATTCCTGTCTCATCTCTGAAAGAAGGATGCAGAATTTATCTCTCCCCTCCCAACCTTGATTTTGGTA